TGTGAGGGGCGGGCGGTCGGGGGTCCGCGTCTGAGGGAAGAGAGCCCAGAAGGCCGCAGACGCGCGCCTGGCTCGGGTCGTTTCGCCGACGGCGCACCTGAGCTTTTTTATCCTGGTCCGTGTCGGGTGCGGGGTGAGCGGGATGCTGGCGACCAGGGAATCCTCCACTCAGCAAAGTGGCCGGTGCGGGGCATGCGGGCAGCATCTTCATTCTTTTAGCCAGTCTGGCTTTCTCATAGGTTTATGTTCAAGTTTGTCCCTCCGTCCCCCGCCCGCCACATTTTCCACTAACTAGTTTTGAGAAAGTAGTCACTACTCCAACTTTGGGAGCCATTCACAGTGATGGGATTTTACCTTGGCCTTCAGTTGCACTTCCACATTCTCATCGAAGTGGCGGAAATAATTGCCCACGTTCTTTAAAATTTTGCCCATCTGTGGAGTGAATAAATTGGTATCTTGCTGCGAGTTTATTTTGCGTTTAACTACTGGACGTTTGCATTCCTTTTTCAGTAAACTGCCTGTTTGTCTTTGCCTGGGTTTTAAAAAATTGAGTTGTTAAATCTTTTGCTTATTTGTATGGAAGAGGTATTTGAGTATTGAATAAGAATAGCCTTTTGCCCATTGTACATGTTGTAATATTTTTCTCACTTTGCCATTTGTGGATGTTGTTTTTTATTGTGCATTTTTTGGGGGGTAGTCAATCGATTTTTTGTCTGTTAAGAGACTTACGGATTTTATGTTAGGTTGGAAACCTATCCACACTCCCAATATTTTTTAAAATGTACTCATCTTTATAGTAATTTTAAGGTTTTGTTTTTTTTTTTAAGTTGAAATTTTTCGTATGCTTGGAATTTAAGTACTGAGGTAGGAGGGGAGCTAGATTTATTTGCTTTTCCAAATACTTAGCCGATGTCCCAATACCATTTCTTAATATTTCCTTTTTTTCAACTGACTTGAGATGCTGAGACTCTTTAAAAGAAACCATAGGTCCGCTGGGCCATTTCTTATTACCAAACTGTTTTGGTTCCCCTAGCATTTGTAATATGGTTTGTGCTTTGAGATTTTCACATGAATAGATTCTATTTCATTAACATTGAAGATGAAACAAGGTCCCAAAACTATCCTAGTTTAATTTTTGTGTACGAATTAAATAAGAGTATATTTTAACTAGTGGACAGTTTAAAATCTCTTAACTTTAGAAAGGGCCAAATGTGCACTAATGCCAGTGAAAAATGTTTTCAACAGCATCCTCTTTAAAAATAGTACCCCAAACATAAACTTTCTTTTTAAGAATATAGGCATTGGCTTCTATTGGGAACTGTTGGGAGGTGTTTATTACTGTTATTTGCTTTTTGGGAGAAAGGAATGTGTTTCAGAATACACAATCTATTTGTTCTTGAAATGAGTTATGTTGTCTTAAAGTTATATTTTCTTATAGACCTTTTCATCTTTGTCATTTCAAATTTCATTTGTCTTCACTTAATAAACAAAAACCTAAAAGCAGATATTTAATTGGATATTTTAAGGGTATGTTCCATTTACAACAAAGTATAAATCAGTATTCTTTCTAATTAAAAAAAATATATACGTCAAGACAATTGTCATTCCTAATTTGCTTTGCCTACCAGAATTTTCTAAAGAGAAGTTCATGGTAAGTCAAAGCTTGTCTAGTTGAAATGTTTCCCAGATGTTTTAAGTGTATTATAATGAAATTAGTAATACAGTGGGTAATAATCAAAGTGATGATAGTTCCTGGTTGGATTTGCTTTGTAGAATGCATTAAATTAGGAAAAAACATGAAGATACATTCCGTGGACCAAGGGGCAGACCACATGCTGATTCTCTCATCAGATGGAAAACCATTTGAGTATGACTACAACATGAAACATCTAAGGTAGGGAACTTTTTTCTTTTATTAAAATTAATTTTAATCAAAAGACAATAATTTTTGTAGGAAAATGTTACCATATCTGATTGTTGTCCCCTGCTTTATATAGTAGCATCTTAAGTAAATGATAAATTCTGAACTGACCAGTAAAGTCCTTACGTCCCCCAGGGCAGGTATCTTGTGTTGTTTTGGCATTTAAAGAAAATGATTAAATAGTCTGCCTAGCCCTAAATTGGACTTTCACATTCATTAACTCATTTGATCCTCACAATAGTTCTGTAAGTTCAATTTCTGGAAATAAAAGTTTTTAACCTAGAAAAAATACACATTATCATGAAATGATTTGAGACTTTTCCCTAGTAGATTATATGAATTAGAACTCATTTTCATCTTGCATTTATTCCTGCATCATAAAATTATTGTTTGTGTAGTATTTTATAATTATGTAATGCATGTTTTTTCTTAAACCACTAATTAAAACATGCAGTATTTAAAAAATAATTTTACATGTACTGAATGTGATGCAATAAATTGAAAGTTTTTTCTTGAGCTTCATTTCTAATTAAATACTATTAATAGTTCTGAAATCCGTGTTGTAACTTTCATTATGGCGATTAACACAAAATGTATTTTCCTTCATCAGGTCTGAAAGCATTTTACAAGAAAAAAAAATAATTCAGATCACGTGTGGAGATTATCATTCTCTTGCACTCTCAAAAGGTATTTTTCTGTAATATTAATAGTTTTGTAGAAGTAATACATGTGTGTATATGTGGAGCCAGTAGAATGTCTATATTTCACTTGTAACAGGACGGAAATACAGTTTTAAATTTGATATAGTTCCGAATACTATTCTTAAAGCAAATACATAATGAGAGAATTCTTGGATCTGTAAAATGTTCAGGTTTCCATAATTACTATTCCTAAATTTGATATGATGTTTTTATTTTTCAAGTATGAAACAGTGAAAATTTTCTGAATAATCAAAACTGTTTTCTCTACAGCTGGTCCAGGCCTGGGGTCACCCTTTTCCAGAAACTGCTTCCCTTTTCCTAACACTCTTCCAACTTCCACTCTTCCAGCTCAGAATCCCCTTTTGTGGCCAAGCTGCAGGCCTCTGATATGTTTTAACATTGCCTTTTGAATTCAAGGATTCTCCCTAACCCTGTAATATTTCCCATTTTCTATCGGACATTGTCATGGTGGGAAATGGAAGCAGTGAATATGAATTACTTCCTAAAGAAACTTGACTATGAGGCCAGGCTTGGTGGCTAATGCCTGTAATCCCAGCACTTTGGGAGGCTGAGGTAGGAGGATCACTTGTAGCCAGGAGTTTGAGACCAGCCTGGACAACATAGGGAGACCCCATCTTTACAAAAAACCTTAAAAATTAGCTGGGCGTGGTGGCTTGCACCTGTAGTCCCAGCTACTTGGGAGGGTAAGGCAAGAGGATCCCTTGAGCCCAGGAGTTTGAGGCTGCAGTGAGCCATGATCGTGCCACTGCACTATAGCCTGGGTAACTGAGCGAGACCCTGTCTCAAAAAAAAGAAATGTACTGTGAATGGAATAATTAAGATAGCAGTAGGGTAATAGAAGGGAATTCAGAGTCAAGGGAATTTTTGTTAATATATAGCACAGATGTAAGCATGTTCATAAACTGAATAGAATCTGGGATTCAAGGGAAGTTAATAATTAGTGAGTATTGACCTTCATTTCAAAGCCTGTTGAGATTTGATAGTATGAACTTGTATTGGAAAAAACTGATCATTTGACTTCATTAATTCATTAACAAATATTTCATATTATCTACTGTGTTTTGATTATGAAGATGAAACACACACACCCTGCCTTTAAGAAGCCCAGGGTCTAGAGGCGTGTATGTACAAGGGATATTCAGAGTTTATTACTAGTAAATCACAGTACAGAAATAATAAAAGTTGGGGAAACAAGAAAATAAGCTGGTCATACTCATCATTATATTCCTGGTGGTTGACAGGTGCATGAAAATTGTGTGTGAAGGAGAGGCTCTGCTTCCCACCAGATCCTGCACAGTATCTTGCAAAGAGATGCCAGTAAACCTTAATTCTCTGGTGTATTTTTTAAGACTCTATTAGATATTGTCAGCTCTATCAGATAACATCTAAGAACACTCCCTAAAAAATGTGCTCCATATATTCAGTTAATGGAAGAAGAAACTGACTCGTTCGAACAACTGTAATTTGAAATTAATTTTACAGTTGTTGATTTGGGATCTTGTAATTTCAGATGAATTTTACAGTTGTTTATTTGGGATCTTTAGGCACATGAAAGGGAGGGAGATAGAGAAAACAGTAGCTCTAGGGTTTTTCGCAGAGGTAGATTGCGTCTGTTTTTCATGGGCCCATCCTCTGAGTGTTTTACAGTAAATATTTCTTGAATTTGATTTACAATCAAATTTATGATGTTGAAGATATTCTTTAATATGTTCAAATAGCTTCACCTTTGAGGTGAGGGATAAAGAAGTGTAACTGTCACTGCTAAAGAGAAGATTCTATGTTTTTCTGTCAGACATAGGGGAACTGAGAGTACCATCAGTGCAAAGGTACAATATTGTGATATTATACTATGTAGAGCATGCATCATGCTTTAGGGTAATGTCTGCTGCATTTTAAATGGAATAAAACAGCATTTACTTTGTTTATGTCAAGGTGGTGAGCTTTTTGCCTGGGGACAGAACCTGCATGGGCAGCTTGGAGTTGGAAGGAAATTTCCCTCAACCACCACACCACAGATTGTGGAGCACCTCGCAGGAGTACCCTTGGCTCAGATTTCTGCCGGAGAAGCCCACAGCATGGCCTTATCCATGTCTGGCAACATTTATTCATGGGGAAAAAATGAATTTGGACAACTAGGCCTGGGCCACACTGAGAGTATGGAACACATTCTCAGATTCCTGTCACCAACACTTACACTTGTTAGATGAATTGAATGGACCTCCCTGTCAAATAATGGTTCAAATCTTCACTTTGATTTGCAGTACTCTTCCTGATTACCTCCCTGTCTTCAGGGCAGAATCAGTCCAAGAGGCATGGGTAGTGTGGAAGTTGTTACTGTAATTGAGACATGTTTCAGAGCTGTGTGTGAGATGGGAAAGGGCGTTGAATTAGGGATGAGAACCTGGATTCTGATTCCCACTTTGCAGTTTACAAACTGCAAGCCTTGCCCAGTCACTAAACTTTTCTCTAAACCTCATTTTCTTTTTCTATAAAGTGACAAGTTTGTATGAGATGACCTTTAAAGCCTTTGCACTTAAAGTCTGTTAGTGTATTATTACAAAAGAATACTAAAATTATATTTAAGAAATCACATATCCTGATCTTATTCTATAAGGTATCAATTATGTCTGTAAACACACAAAAACACACATGAAGAAACATGTAATTTCCATTATTGAACAAAGCTGATGGTAAAATTTCTCATGATCCCAAAAAACTCATTTAGAGTTTTCAGGTGTAAGAAATTCTGCTCCTTTACCCAGCTGTGGTACTGTATGCATTTCCCTGGATCACTGGTTACTCATTTCTCTCTGACACAGTGCAATGCTCATTACACAGAATAGCCAATAAGTCAGTGTTAGAAAAATATTTAAAGGAGAGAAGAGAATAAAGCAGCCATTAAACTACTTTGGCTGAATCTCTGAGTGCTTTGACATGAAAATAATCATGAAGAAAAGAAGAGGTAGTGTGAGGTGATGACACTAGTAGATAATTTGAAAGAAAAAGGAATTGCTATGTTCATTAAAAGTAATTCTAGATGGGTATTGGAAATATCTAATGTGCTGCAATTAAAGTGAATGAAGTCAGAATTGAGAACAGGCTTTAGGACGTGGTTTGACCCTTTCACAGGTGGGTGCCCCTAAGTGTGACCCTTTTGGCCACTGGTCCCACCTTCACCCTGAGGCATAGAACTTGATCCTAAACATGGCAACATAGAGCCTTTCTTGTCAGAATATCACGAGAACTGTTGTTGCTGGGTTGAGAAGCAGCAGTCCAGGTAACTGCAGTGTGAAACTCAGCATTTCCTTTTGGTCACTTCAGCTATTTTTTTCCTTACATAGGTAAAGATTCTCCTTCCCTTATTGAAGCACTAGACAATCAGAAAGTTGAATTTCTCGCTTGTGGTGGCTCTCACAGTGCCCTGCTCACACAGGTGGGTGTACCCTTGTCTCTTTTTGGCTGTATTTTTAGAAGAACATTTTGTATGGGAAGCTAGTGTTTCCCAGGGAAGAAAGGTCATCACTTCCTACATGTAGGACTGTCCTTCTGATATTTAGGAACTTTACTTTGACAGTGCTTTTTATTAGTTATTCACTTTGCATCAGTGAATACTACTTTTTTATTTTATTTCTCTAGCATCTGATATGACATTCCCTTTCCTCAGGATGGGCTGCTGTTTACTTTTGGTGCTGGAAAACATGGGCAACTTGGTCATAATTCAACACAGAATGAGCTAAGACCCTGTTTGGTGGCTGAGCTTGTTGGGAATAGAGTGACTCAGATAGCATGTGGAAGGTAAGTTGTAAAGTATCAATGAAAATTGATAAAATGACTACAGTAAACTAGATAGTAATTTAATAAAATTTCTATCAGTTTCTTTGAGATTTAAGTATCAAACATTTTCAAATCAGTGAAAATGCTTAATTTATATTATTTAGGTAAACGTAATACCCCTTTTACTATACATGGTTGTTTTCTTTGTTGTTGTTTTTAATGAGCAGATGCAGTTCACTTTCTGCTGTCTCTTTAGTGAAAATACCTTTGTAACTATTCAGGTGCACTTTTGTCTTTAAGAAAAATAAGTCATTGTTTATTTGGGAAAAGTAAAGCGCGAATCACAAAGGATTATTCATTAATGTAATCACCCTCTCTCACAATGCCTTGCGGCCAGCATACTTTTTAATTACCAGAGTTCTTTCATTGTAGCCTGTGCTGATCATGGTAAAGTATAAGACATAGTCAGTGATGGTTTGAGTGAAATATTCCTGAAAAGTTTAATTTTCACAGCTCTTTTTTAGAAAATAAAGGTAAAATGTCTTGCTCAGACTCCTTGATTTATTTAAAGGTTTTTTTTTTTTTTTTTTGAGGTGGAATATTGCTCTGTCGCCCGGGCTGAAGTGCAGTGACGTAAGCTCAGCTCACTGCAACCTCCACCTCCCAGGCTCAGGTGATTCTCCCACCTCAGCCTCTGGAGTAGCTAGGATTACAGACGTGCACTGCCACAACCGGCTAATTTTTTTTTTTTTTTTTGAGACGGAGTCTCGCGCCATCGCACAGGCTGGAGTGCGGTGGCACAATCTCGGCTCACTGCAAGCTCCGCCTCCCAGGTTCACACCATTCTCCTGCCTCAGCCTCCCGAGTAGCTGGGACTACAGGCGCCTGCCACTATGCCTGGCTAATTGTTTGTATTTTTAGGAGAGACGGGGTTTCAACGTGTTAGGATGGTCTCTATCTCCTGACCTTGTGATCCACCTGCCTCGGCCTCCCAAAGTGCTGGGATTACAGGCGTGAGCCACCGTGCCCGGCCACAACTGGCTAATTTTTGTGTTTTTAGTAGAGACGGGGTTTCACCATGTTGGCCAGGCTGGTCTTGAACTCCTGACCTCAGGTGATCTGCCTGCCTTGACCTCCCAGAGTGTTGGGATTACAGGGGTGAGCCACCATGCCACTATTTAATTTTTTGGTCATCAGATATATCAGTGCACGTCTTGCCAGGGGGATATTGGGAGTTGATGGGGTTAAAAAAAATTCTCCCCCGTGTACACTACTCTTTTGGGCAGTTTTTCCCTCACTAAACATAGAGCAAAATTCAGACTGTATTTGAATGTTGGGTTCATTTGTTAGTTTATTGAAACCATTCTTGTAAAAAACTAACATGCATACTTTCAGTCTGATTTTCTTATAATCTTGGAGTAGAATTACATAGATGGGTAATATTAAGGTAGACTAAATTACTGGAATATGAGTCTGTTCACCAAACAAACATCTCTTCAATATTGATACCTCATTCAGTATCTCTTAACCAAAGCAGTCTTATTACCTCTTTAGATTCTTCATTACATACAGTCCTTTTGAGTAGCATGTGTTACAAGAGAAGGAGGCAAGTTGGAGATGTCTTAATGCACATCAGGGCAATACCCCTACTAACAGGACAATTCACTGGAAAGACTCGGGAACTTACTGAAAGCTATTATACTCATAGTCACATTTATTACAAGAAGAGGATACAAATTAGTACCAGTGAAAGGAAGAAACATAAGGGCAGGGTCTAGGAGGGCTCCAAATGCTGAGCTTGTGGCTGTCATCTCCCCTTGGAGGAGGTGGATGGTGTTATCTCTTCTGGCCTGATAATGTGACAGGACATACAGAATTTGCCAGCCAATCAGAGAAATTTACTCACCCAAGTTGAGAGTTGTTTTTGTTTTTTCTGGGTTTTTTTTTTTTTTTTTTGGAGACAGTACAGGATGTACATAATTTGCCATTCAGTCACAGAAGTTCACCCAAGTTGAGAGTTGTTTTTTTTTTTGTTTCTTTGTTTTTGTTTGTTTGTTTGTTTTGAGACAAGGTCTCACTCTGTCACCCAGGCTGCACTGCAGTGGTGCTATCATGGCTTACTGCAGCCTTGACCTCCCAGGCTCAAGCAGTCCTCCTGCCTCAGCCTCCTGAGTAGCTGGGACCACAGGTGCATGCCACCGTGTCCAACTAATTTTTAAATTTGTTGTAGAGATAGGGTCTCCTTATATTGGCCAGGCTGGTCTTAAACTTCTGGGCGCAAAGTATCCTACTGCCTTGGCCTCCCAAAGTGCTAGGATTACAGGCATGAGCCACCACACCCAGCCTAGATTGAGGGTTTCTATTGGGATTTTATTGCTGAGGCATGATTGGTTAAATCATTGCCAGGTAGTTGAACTTAATCTCCAGCTCTGCCCTCCTGTAGGTCTGAGGGCTTGGGAAATTCTGTGGGTTTAGAGGTTACCTCCCAGGAACTGGGCACCAGCCAGACCTTTCTGGGCAAGGCAGATTCCTTGCTACACAACAGTATAGTGGAGATACAAACAAGCAAAATAGGAAATCAGTGTGGTAAAGGTCTTTGAGAAATTAAATGGGAACTCAACTGAGTCTTCCAGGATGGGAAGAGAAGGGACTCAGATGGTTTCCAAGTGGTGGTGACTCAAACTGAGGTTGAAAAATGAGCAGAGGGCAAGGGGAGGTGCTTGTTCCAACAAAGGGAACACCATTCGCCAAAGTATGACATCATGGTCTTGAGTGGCCTTTGGGTTCCACAGTCTTTTCAGGTACATGTTGATTTCTTGGTTTCCAGATGGTTTTCATCCTTTAGGAGATGTTTAGTTTCACTCTCACTGGGTAACATAGTTTTGGCAATTTACTGTATTGCTAAACACTCTCATCATTGTGGATAATTAAGGATTGACCATATGTGCTTTTATTTAATAGGTGGCACACGCTTGCCTATGTTTCTGATTTGGGAAAGGTCTTTTCCTTTGGTTCTGGAAAAGACGGACAACTGGGAAACGGTGGAACACTTGACCAGCTGATACCGCTTCCTGTGAAAGTATCATCAAGTGAAGAACTCAAACTTGGTAAATTCTATAGGAACATAGGGTTTGGCGTAGTATCTTTTTAGAGAAAATGATTTTTCTAACTGGGTAATGCGGCAAAGAAAGCAGTATATGACTATGAAGGGAGTTTCTCTAAATATTGGTTTCATTTTTTTGCTGGTAAACAATTCAAGAGTCAGTCTGATTTATTGAGGCAAAATAATTATTCTGTATTACTCCTTCAGATTAGGATTAATGTGAATTTAAATGATAAAATAGACAATGGATTCAGAGGCATATGCAGCTCTCATTCCAGTTTGCAAGAGACTTAACTAATTCTGTGGTGGCTGGTTGCCCTGATTAAGTTGATCCACAGTCATATAAAACCCTCAGAATAATGAGCAATCAACATATACCTGGCACTGAACTACGCTCAGCACTTACTTGTGTTATCTCACCAATCCTTGTAACGGTTCTGGGAGGTGTATTCTGCCACTTCTGTTTTATTGGAGGATAAAGAGACTTGGAGAGAAAAGGGTTAGCCACTTACTCATGGCCAGTAAGTGGTTTGTCTGGAGTCAAACCGGTGCCCTTTATGACCTCAGTCTGAGCTCTGAAACACTCCACTGTAGAAGCACCTTGGAGCATTTCTGTTACTTGTTTCTGAAAGCTTAGTGGTGACCTCAAGTGACAAAATTTACTCATTTCTTGTGGGAAAACGAACAGTAGAGTTATTTTCTTAAGCAGCATGTATTATCTTTGATTCCTTATAACCAGTTACATGGGCTTAAAGTACTTATATTCTTTATAGCCAGCGTCATTGGTTAAATCTTGAAAACATGGTTTTTAGTAATGGGAGTTGGGCCGGGTGCAGTGGCTCACGCCTGTAATCCCAGCACTTTGGGAGGCCGAGGCGGGTGGATCACGAGGTCAGGAGATTGAGACCATCCTGGCGAACACGGCGAAACCCCGTCTCTACTGAAAATAAAAAAAAATTAGCCAGGCGTGGTGGCGGGCGCCTGTAGTCCCAGCTTCTAGGGAGGCTGAGGCAGGAGAATGGCGTGAACCCACAAGGCAGCGGAGCTTGCAGTGAGCGGAGATCGCACCACTGCACTCCAGCCTGGGCAACAGCAAGACTCCATCTCAAAAAAAAAAAAAAAAAGGTAATGGGAGTTGAATTAAACTGATAGCATTTAGCTAATCAAATATTTGCATTTTATATATAAATATTTATATTATGTATATTAAACTGATGTCTCATGTCCACCTTGTGAATTACGTATGTTTGCCAACTAGACTTTACTCCAAAGTATGTGTATTTCAGCTTCGTAATTGGTGGAGGATGTATTTTGTCTATTAAGATGACTACGTTTAAGAAGAATTTGAAGTTATTTAAATTGAACATGCCTGTTTGTGCCAAATGACTTTCTAACACTCTTACTTTTTGTGCATCCTTTCAGAAAGCCATACCTCAGAAAAGGAGTTAATAATGATTGCTGGAGGGAATCAAAGCATTTTGCTCTGGATAAAGAAAGAGGTAAAAATAGATCTCCAGGTGTTCTATAACCTGGTATTTTAAGCAAAACTAAGGGTTCTAGTATCCAAGTTTGGTGAATTCCAAAATCATCGGTTTACTAGGCTGACTTTTTGGGGGATAGCTGGACATTACTGATCCTTTATTATCTAAACTACATCAGTATTTTCCCACAAAAATCAGCAAATTTTTCTCTGGTGAATGTCTAATCAGTGTGATTTCCATAGACTCTACTTACCTTTTGGGGGCTGCTTGCCAGTGATGTTTTGTCAGTATCCTGGCAAACAACAGAGTGGCAGATTCTAAAAATGACTTTGCAGGCCAGTACTAAGAAAGACCCCAAGGTTCATGGGCTTGCAAATAAAATGTCCGTAACTTCCCAGCCCTACTTCACCAAGTGAAATCGAGTTCCTCACACTTCTGCACACAGCGCTTTCAGGATCTTCCCTTCCCTTCAAGGCTGTCTGATGTTCAGTTTAATTTGATTGTATTTGTATAAAGTGCTGAGTGTTGAGGCCCTCAGAGAAATTTACTTTCAGTCTAAGCCCCCTTGGACAAGAAAGTGGCAACCAGGCAAATGATTGATTACTTATTGGTTGAGTATCACTTTGTGATTGTCCCAGGGCTGTATTACCCGTATTTAAAAGTCAGTTTTACCCTCTAGAGTGTACCTAAAAGTTGAGTACCTATCTCTGATGTGTCTAAATTATTGTATTTTACTTTCCTGTTTGTTTACAGAATTCCTATGTTAATCTGAAGAGGACAATTCCTACACTGAATGAAGGGACTGTAAAGAGATGGATTGCTGATGTGGAGACTAAACGGTGGCATAGCACAAAAAGGTACATCCCACAGTCTGACTGTCTGCTTATATAACACTCTCAAGTATCATTTCCCAAACTGGTTCTGCACAGCAGTATGAGATTTTGTAGTCAGGGTTTTCCAGCGAAACAAACTAATAGGATATGTGTGTATTTCTGTCTCTATCTCTGTCTCTATCATGTCTGTGTGTCCATCTATCCATCTATGGAGGGGAGAGAGAGAGAGATTATTTTAAGGAATTGTCTCATGAGATCGTAGGGGCTGGCAAGTTCAAAATCTGTAGGGCAGGCCAGCAGGCTGGAGACTTGGGGAAAAGTTGATGTTGCAACTCAAGTCTGAAGGCAATCTAAAAGCAGAATTTCCTCTTCTTTGGGTGACCTCAGCCTTTTCTCTTAAGGCCTTCAACTGGATGAGGCTCACTAACATTATGGAAGGTGCTTTCTTTTTATTTACTCGTTCAAGTGCTTTACTCAGTTTACTGTTTTAAATGTTAATCTTGTCTAAAAAAATATTTTCATAGAAACATCCAGAATAATATTTGATCAAATATCTTGGTACCATGGCCTAGCCCAGTTGACATATAAAACTAACTATCACAGCTAGCATGTAAGCTCCATGAGGACAGCTTTCTTTACTGTAGGGCTTCTCCAGGCCTCTGTTTATGTATATTGTGACTCTCTGGCCAGAAAATACAGTCTATAGTGTTCCCCAGTCCCATTCGATACTGGAACCATTAGTTTGTGTTCCTGTTATTCTTAGCCAAACAATTTGTACCATTCTTCTCTAAACCATAGAACTCCTACAGTCTTATAGAACTCCTGCCTATTCTTACAAGCATCATCTTTTAGAAATATTTTAAAGTATGACTTTCTAATTCTGGAAAATGATTGTACAAAATGGTTGCACAAAATAATTGCATCATAATTTGCAAGCATAAATAATTAAGAACTGTACAACTACTGCTAAGATGAAACTCAGCATACTTCTTCCCCCATTTAATTTCTGGTAATTTATTTTGTTTCTACTTCAATGGAATAGAAATAAATAGGACTTGCATAGTTGGTGGGGTGGGAGTATTTTGTTTGTTCAAGAAAGTTCTGACCATAAATCAAGCCTTTCCTCTTTATTTGAGGCTTCGCTTAGTATGTATAAACTTTTTTATTTCCCATGTTTGCCACTGAAATTTTGAGATTTACCAAACAGAATGGACTTTTGGAAGCCAAGATAATATGCGTACAGATAGGAGACAAATGGAGAGGTTAGAAGGATTGTTATAAGATGTTGTATTTATCATGTTTCATGCTATAAAGAGGCTGTGTGTATGTATACCATGTGATTTGGTTTAACCAGTGTCTTATTACTAATATAGGGAAATCCAAGAGATATTTTCATCTCCTGCTTGTCTAACTGGAAGTTTTTTAAGGAAAAGGTAATATATGTAATAAATTAATTGTATTAAATTGTATTAAGAGTACCGTGAAAGAGGATAAAAAATGATTGGAGGGTAAAATAATTAGCTGTGTGTTCATCCCTTTTTAAAAATTGTTTTTTAACAAAAGTAAATATATGCTTGCTGTAGAAAATGTCAAAAATACATACAATAAAAAGAAAGTGAAAATCTTCCATAATCCATCACTTAAGAGTAATAGCTAGCACTTATGTATATTATTTTTTCATGCAAATGTATTCTTTTACAAAAAATGAGATCATACTGGTTTTTTGTTTTTGTTTTTTTGAGACAGGGTGTTACCCTGTCGTTGCCCATGCTGGAATGCAGTTGTGTGATCTTGGCTCATTGTAACCTTCGCCTCCCAGGCTGTAGCAATCCTTCCACCTCAGCCTGAGTAGCTGGGGCTTCAGACATATGGCACTACACACAGCTAATTTTTGTATTTTTTTGTAGAGCCAGAGTTTTACCATGTTGGCCAGGCTGGTTTCGAACTCCTGAACTCGGGCAATTTACCAGCCTTGGCCTCCCCAAGTGCTAGGATTTCAGGCGTAAGCCACCATGCCCAGCTGGATCACATTGTTTATACGTTGTTTTATACTTAACGTTTGCCCATTTTACATTTTGTTCTATCTTTTTTGGTATACATATATGTGTGTGTGTGTGTATGTATATATATGTGTTTTTTTTTTTTTTGAGACAAGGTCTCCTGGAGTTACATCATCATGGTTCTTGGGCTCAAGCATCATCAAACTCTTGGGCTCAAGCACTACTCCCACCTTAGCCTTCCACGTAGCTGGGACTACAGGCATGTGCCACCATCTCCTGCTAATTTTTTAACTTTTGTAAAGACAGCAGCTTTGCTATGTTGCCCAGGCTGGTCTTGAACTCCTGGCCTCAAGCAGTCCTCCCACCTCAGCCTCCCAGTGTTGAGATTATAGGTGTGAGCTACCACACCCAGCCGGTAACATAATTTTAATGGCCTCATGACCTTCCATTAGAAGGTCTTCCATGAGAAGATACTTAAACATTTCATTAATGACTTTATATTGAAGTACTAAGAAATTATTGGTCAGAAGCTCCCTCTTTTGGTTCCCACTTTTCAGTCCATTTAACTGGAAAAAATGGATGTATTTTTTAGAAATGGGAAAAACCTTTATCTTTTTTCTGTGGAGCTCCTTCCTTCCGTCC